GATGGTCTGTACTTGGCTGTGCTGGGGCAAGGTCTTTTGTTCCACCCCTTGGCATTCCTATAAATACCCTAGGGCAGAAATGGGCTGGTGGAAAAGGATCCAGGCCCACCCAAGTCTATCCTGTGTTTTCTCTCTGTTTCTCTCCCCTCTATTTCTAACAAAGTCTCTTATCCCTCATTCCTCAAGAGTCCCTGGAGTAAATAAATGTGGGGGCTGGTCCGCCACAGGCAGAAATATTGTAAAAGCCAGAAGACCAGGAAGTCTACCATGAGATTGTAACTCCTAAAATGAAAGGGAAGGTACACTCATGACATCACAATAAAGTAGCTTATTTTAAAAGACCTGGACAATGGCAACACTAATAGATATGATAACAAAGAAGAAATTTCATGGTGCCCTAACTCTAAACGAAGAACTACAGACAACAGAGAGGTAGAATTAGACTTCCTCAGGGATGAGCCCCCTAACTGGTTACCCAATACCAAGTGGTCAGCCCTTGAATCATGTATTTATAAGCAAAACTTAATTGGTTTAATATGTGTATAGAGCAATAATCAAGGAAAAGAAGCCATGAATTTGGGAGGAAGTAAGGGAGGGACGTAGAAGGGTTGAGGGAGAAGGGGGAGAATAGGAGAAAAGGGAAGGGGGAAATAATATAATATTATACTTCAGTTAAAAGAAAAAATAAGAAAAAAAAATAGTGACTCCCCTCGGCTCACTTAGAATGGTCATCATTAAGAATATAAATAACTACAAAAGAGAGAACCCATGACTAAAGAGGTCTTAGAACCAAAGGTGTGCTTAGATGAATTGACATAGCATCAAACCACCTTCTAAATATCTGTGTTTATACCTATAGACAGAGATTAATATCAACCTTAATCAGAAAAGACTCTCTTTATAGTGAATGGAAAGAAATGTGTAGGTATATAAGATGCTAAAAATAAAGGATGGTTACGGGTTCATCTCTAAGTAAGGCATTTATACCACCCCCTTCAGGCTCAGTGAATATTGTGGAAAAGGGTCTTGAAAAGAATTTTTTTAATGGTTTAAATCATTTCTCTATTTAAATGGTAATGTGTATGTCTTCTATGTCTTTTTTTTATTAAGAGATTTTCTATTTGTTTTACATATCAACCACGGATTCCCCTGTCCTCCCTCCTCCCACCTCCCAACTCCCCCCCCACCACTCCCCCAGTCTTGGAAAGAATTTAAGAGCAGGGAGATATGGAGAATGGTTGCAGTACGCCATCTTTTAAGCATGACTTGGCCATGGCAAAAATGGAATCATAGTAGTTGTGTCTTCTGGTCCTGGACCCATCCAAATTGGGCCATCCTGAATCACCCGGCTCCACCACTTACTGCGGATCTATTGGAAACTAACAGATTGTAGAGGAGAGAGACATAACAGAATTTTGTACCTACTGATGGCCTCATGGGGCTCTAGTAGATAGTTCTAGACCTGGGGACACACAGATAGCCCTGGTTAAATTCACTAAGAAGCAAAGCAAAAGAAAAGGTGAAGAATATGAAGGAAGTGTCTGTAAATAGGAAAGGGGACTGGCTGGGAGAAGGAAAGAAACGAGAGAAGCCGTGGGGAGAGTGCCCAGAATACATTGCATATGTGTATTAAACTGGCAAAGAACACATTGGTTAACAAAACACCTATAAAAATGAAAACAGCAAGGCATAAGATAATTGGATATCCAGTAATTTGAGACTGAGTTGAGACAGCAACTTAAGTAGCTCACGATTGATTCAGATTTATAGAAAACCAGGAAATGGGCTGATAAAAACTAGAAATAGAAGCAAATTGTGCAGATTCAGGGTATCTGTGAGAAAGGGTGCCGGGGACCAGCCTCAGCAGTTTTGGGGGTCTGAAGGATGGGATACCTGGAAGGTGCAATAACGACTCAGAGACAATGATCGTGCAAGCTGACAGGTCACTTCGGGCTTCTGCAGTTGCTAAGTTTCTTTTTCTTCCCTGGCTTCTCTTAGCTTCTCTTAGTTTTTCTTAGTTTCTCTTAGCTTCTCTTAGCTTCTCTTAGCTTCTCTAACTTCTCTTGCTTTAGCTTCTGCTTTTGCCCTGGTGACCTCAGTCTTTTATTATCATAAGAAAAGGGGGAACAGAAAGAAAAGGGGAAATCACCCAATACAAAATGTTCTCATGATTCCAAAAATTATTCTTAGAAAATCACCAATATATTCTTCATCATCTTTTACTAAACACAGGAACTATCCCAGACTTAACACCAAAGCAAGCATAATCTATTTTTATTATTAATGATTATACAATCTTTTGAGCACTTGACCCAAAGGCTAGCAACATGCAATTTCACAAAAAAAAAATAAAAAGGTAAAAATATGCACAGTGGTCAATATACCAGACAGTCATTTCCTTATCACACAGTCTGCTCCAACCTCAGGACCCCTGCAGCCGCCTAAGTTCCTCCTCAGCAAATGCCAAGCCCTGTGACTGGTAGGCCACAATGACCTCAGATAAGAAATCTGTCCCTGCAAGTCAGCAACTTCTGTCCTTCTATATCCAACAATTCCAAGGAAGACCTAATCTAATTTATAGAGCTTCTATGAAAGGAAGCTCACCTTTCTTGGCAGCTCTTTTCAATCTAGGAACCCAATAAAGCTTGTAGCAATCACTCCATCAGTTGTCACATTATCTCCACACTCCTTCAAGAGGAATAAAAAAATGTCTGAATTAAAGTTGCCATCTCCCGTTTTTGGTGGAGGCCACTATTTTCCTCCTATTCTAGGTTCCCACACTTTTAGTTTGCCATCCCATCTGTATGTTACTCCAACCACAGTCTTCAGCCAATACCCCTTAGGGTCTCAAGTTTTACACAATGCCCTTGGAATATCCTCAGAAACTGAATTATTCATTGTGTCCAATTTGCATCCAGTGTGTTGATACACATCATACCATGTGCTATAGTTGACCATACATTCGGTACAGTTTATCCAAGCCTGAAAAGCTTTCCCAGGCTGCAGGTTTTTTCCCATGAACTACATAACTGCCTTGACCCCAGCCTGGGTAATCACCTCTGTATAATTTCCTGTGAAATTTACTTCACTCCTTTCCTGCATCATAGAAATTACCATTGGTCTAGGAGCACAGAACAGAAAGATCAGATAGAAGAAGAAGACTAGTATTCCAAGAAGTATTTATATGGAGAAGAGCATGACATGTGCACGCCATAAAGCATGACCTCGGGGAAATGTAGGCATTTCTGTCTTGGCCCTCTAGAGGCCTGCTAAGCAGAAGATCCGGAGGGGAACACACGGAGGGTTGATGGTCCACAATCTCGGGTCCCCTTTTCTCCAATCTCTGCTGGCAGCACGCCAGCCATCTTATATGCCCGTCCCTGGCAAAAGGGTTAAACGTGAGGGAAGTGTTAAAAAAATTTAAGGAATTGAGACCAGGAATTAATCAGTTTGCACAACAGTTGAGCAAACATTCTAATCACTCACAGGAGAGAGATCCAAGGACTTTAAACCCCAGCAGTGGCCCTGTCTGGGGCACCATGGCAGCTGAGAGATACACAGGACAGGAGGCTGTGGCCTCCATTGGGGTCACAACAAAGGCACCGTGGTCTCCTTTTCTACAGGTACGTGAGTGAGAGGTTCAAGCTCAAGGCAGACAGGAGATGGCAACCCAAGAGTGGCATCTGTGGAGGAAGTCTGCTAACCTGGCTGCCTAGGCTGCATCTACTGGCTGTCTGTGTCCTGCTGACCCCAAAACTGACCCCAGTGTTTTTATGGCCCCACTGGGCTCTGCTGAGCTTTTCTGGACTCACTGGGAACCACCCCTAAAATGAAGCTTTGTAGCTGAGAGGCTAAGAGCCCAGCTTTGCTGACCAGGAGACCTCAACCCACTTCTCTTTAGCCACATTCCAGCCATGCTGTTGTGAGCGAGAGAAACTATAGCCCTTCAGAGTGGTTTTGTTGGCTAGGATTTGCCCTGCTTTTTGCTAGCCTGATCAGTTTTTCATTTCTGCATCTCATTAGGTAATGAGTATTTATGTAATTTGATCTTGATTAACCCTTATTCCTGTTCCTCTTTTCAACAGTGACAAGTCATTCCTATGATTCCTCAGAGAAGCAGCAAGAGGGGAGGCCAGCCACTTCCCAGTGCCAGTTAGTCCTCTGTGCCCCAAAGCTGCTTCCCTGGACATCTCTGATCTGAACCTAGGCCTTGGGATGGACACAGACTCTCATGAGAAAAGGCCCCTCACCTGAAGATTTCTGCCTAAAGGGCTCAGCATAAGCCCATGAGAAGAGAGGGAAGAGGTGCTATCCTGGGAGGTCCTGTTGCCTTGGGAAGCATCCCCACCATGGCTGGCCATCATTGGACTGTGCTACCCTCCACGGAGGACAATGTCCTGGTGGAGAATTAAGGGTCTACCTGGAGTCACACAGAGTTTCACCTTGGGCATTTCTACTGCCTTGGGAATGGTGTGCTGGGAAACCCCAGTCTTCCTCACCAGAGGAGATGTTTTGCTTTGACCTGTGTGACCAAGAAAACCACTTGTTTCCCCTTAGGCCCCACGCCCCTTGGTATCTGCATCATCCCTGCTTCATGCGGCCTAAGTGGGAAGAGAGTGTCCTTTCAGTCAGCCCTCTTGTTTACTGGAACATGCTGCCCACTCCTGGGAAGAAGGTGGAGGTGCAGAGACAGCAGTGGTCATGTGCAGAAAGGCTGAAGTCACATAGTAGATGGAGGAAGAGGGAGAAGAGACCCAGACAGTCTGGACATTCTGTTACCTGTATCCTCATTCAAGAAATCTCAAGGCCGCTAGAAGCAGCTTAATAAGTCCTGTATTTCATCATAACTCTCTGCGGGGGAGCTCTCTTCCCGACTCGCCACTGTATTTGACTATAGAAGGAGGACAGTTAGAGGTGGGTTTATTAAAGTCAGTGAGTCTATCTCCATGCCAACTGAGGAGTTCTTTCCAAAGAATTCTATTCAGGGATTGAAATGGGATTCTAGGCTTTATCACAGAAAAATATGTTATTGCAAGAGGCTAACCAAAACTCTTGACATCTCATCTTTCTCAGCTCACTGCTATGATGTATCTTTGATAACAGTTGCTTACTTGAAACTACTATTTTTCAAATGATCTGAGTTTGTGCCGAAACACTAAAGCCTGGAAAGGTAATTACTAGATGTTTTGATCATATTTACCTCCCATATCTTCCAAGATCTACCATCCTCCCTTCTCTACCCTCTCAAAATTGTGCCATTTTAAAAAAAAAATCAAGATGAGCCTGTGCTGCTCAAATATGAATGGATGGATGGTTTTCCAATGCAGTGTGATCAGCCCACCATGGGCTACAGTCTTAGAGAAGAATGTATCTCCCTCTCCCAAAAATGAACAATTGCTCCATGGCTAGAGGTGGGATCTCATGCCTAACTTCCATCTCCATGATGCAATGGCTTGAGCTTGCAACAGGTCTTGTGCATGTTGTTGCAACCTCTGTGCATCCATATGTGCAGCTGTCCTACTGCATCCAGAAGATACCGTGTTTCCTTGTGGTCACCCATCTCTGGCTCTTATACTCTTCCTGCCACCCCTTCATCCACAATGTTGCTAAGTCTTAGGAGATGAAGATATGATGTAGATGCCCATCCATTTAATGCTGAGCACTTCACAGTCTATTATTCCAGCATGTTGATGGATTTCTGTTGAGCAGCATCTACTGCAAATAGAAGCTTCTCAAATTATAATTGAGATATACAATTACAACTTGGTTTAATACAATGTCCAAATAGCAGAACAATAGTAGTAGAGTCTCCCTAGGGCATACGACCTGTCTAGCCATTAGTTCTTGGTGCCAGTTATGGGTTTCATATTGTGGAACAGGACTTAAAATTCAATCAGAAAGTAGCTGGTTACTCACATGATTTTTGTGCCAACATTGTACAGTGGTTATGTCTTGCCAGACCAGTCAATATTATAGTTTGAAGGTATGGTTGATTGCCAGAGACCTGTTTTGCCGGGATTCGGGTCCCAAAGAGGATGTATGGAGTCATGAGGTGCGGGGAGAGGTGGGGACAGACACGATCTGAGGATGAATTGGAATGGCTGCCAGTGCATTTATTGAAAAATAATACAGCTTTTGTAACTCAATAATTTAGCCAGAGGCAAGATTGAAAGCAGACTCAATGATTCAGGGACAGAAAACAGCCATTAACTTCATTACAGCATTTTTTCCCCTGAGACATGAGCAGTAAATTCAGCAAGTATCTAAATGCCTGTTGTTTTCAAAGGGTCAGTAACTCCACCAGGAGCCCCCTTAAATTGTAAGCACCACAAGTTCCTGCTGTCAGAGCTAAGGAGAATGACTGTTTTAGCAAGTGGGAATTTTCATCAAGTCCCTGTGGGAATGGAGGTCCTTATCCAAATGCCTGACTTTGGGAAAAGGGCTTCTTCTGGGGACCAGACACTATACTACAATTTAAGATCAGTTTCCAGTCCTCAAGAAGTATGATGTGAAGTAAGCACTGAGCTGTTCCCTAATTGTGTCCCTTTGTGTCTTAGTCTTACTATAGGGACCTCTTCCCCTCACATGCTCCCAAAAGGGAAGGTCCTGATGTCTTGCTCTTTTCCCATTAGACTGTACTATTCTGATTTCTCTATACTTATTAACTTAACTCTTGCCCTTAATGGCCTCAGGCTCTGGATCTGGATTGTAGGCATTTCATGCTTGGGGTCAGGTCTGTCCAGTTAGTAAATCAAACTGTGTCAAGCAGCAGTGTTTGCCCTGCGGTCCATGCCAATTGATGATTGTTTTTCTCCTCTGATAGTGTGTATAGCACCTTCTTGCATTATGAAATCTAGCCAGTAGGGATGACATATTCAGTTGAGAACCAGTTTTATTCTCCATGTCCTGTGACTCAAGTATATGGTGTCTTCAGTAATAAAGTCTGACCATCAAGTGCTAAAGGGTAACCAGGAGCAACGGAAATAGCCCATAATATTTGGGGGTCTGGTATCTCATTGGACAACTTCAAAAGAAGTAAGCCATTCCTGTCCCTGGACTGCTTATTTGTTAGCCTCTGTATCTGGAGGGGGCGGGGTATTGATGACCCATTATAGGGAAGCTATCCCATAGCCCTGGATTTTAAATCTTTTGATGTATCTATTTCAGGAACCTTCTGCTGTTTATATCTGACTCTTTTTGAGAGATCTTTAGTGTTATTTGTCCCTCCCCATACTCCCTTCTCTACACTGCCCTCCACTCCTCCACTCAAATTTAACCCTTCCTGTGCCATTATTCCCTTTTAACCCTTTATACTAGCATGTTCTATCTCCCCTATCCTGAAAGTTCCTCCAAATAGCCCCTGAATAATTTCCTGCCATCTGTGAATGTTCCAAATGAAACACATATATCTGCAGACCAAAGCTAGCATTTTCAGATTTGAGAAAATGTGATGCTTGTCTTCTGAGTCTGTGTTTTCTCATTCAGAATGACTGTTTCCAGCTCCATCCATTTGCCTGCAAGTACCATAATTTTATTTTTTGAATAACTGAATAGCATTCCATTGTGTAAATATACAAAAATTTCATTATCTATCCATCAGTGGATAGATATCCAAGCTGTTTCCATTTCTTGGGCATGGTGAATAGAAAAGCAACAAATAGAGAAGTGTGGGTATCTCTGGAGTAGTATATGGAGTTCTTTGGGTATCTACCCAAAAGTGGTATAGCTGGATCATGCAGTAGATTTATTTTTAGCTGTTGGAGGAAACTCCACACTTTCATAAGGACCACACCAGTTTTAACTTCCACCAACAGTAAATAAGTGTTCCTCTTTCCTCATATCCAGGCCAGCATTTTTGATAATTTTTTAAATTTTAGTCATTTTGACAAGGGTGAAGTAAAATCTCAAAGAAGCTTTAACTTGCATTTCTCTGATGGCTAAAAAAATGTTAAATATTTTTCCTTTTAAATTAACTTTTTATTGATTCTTTGTGGATTTCTTATCATGCATCTACATCCCACTCATCTCTTCCCCTCTGCCCTCTACCCTTGCAACCCCCTCCCCAGGGTAAAAGATAAAATTTAAAAGAAAAGGAAAATCTCATTGCAGAAGCTGTAGTGTGACACAGTGAGTTACACAGTCCTTTGTAACTTGGTAATTAGTCCATATATTGTCACTTGCAAGTGTTCATTGCATTGAATTGTTGGTCTGGTTTGAAGTCTCTGGTTTTTGCTAAATTATCAATACTGGGCCCTCACTGGGGCTCCTCTTGGATATCTTGTTGTTGCCTGTGTCATGGAGATCCTGTAACTTTAAGTCTACAGGACCAGCCCCTTCACATGCTCTATCAGATCATAGATGGGATGGATGATGGGATGGGCTAACTCATAGCTCTGCTTCTGGATCTGGGTGGTTGCTGGGTTGGTCAACTTGCTAGCTCCCCTTCATCTTCAATGCCAGGGCGAGCACTCCAGTACTGCCCTGGCTAGCTCACCCTATGTAGTAAGTGGCAAGGGGTGGGGCTGATTCTCCTGCTCTCAGATCCTTAGGGTCAGCTCACCCACACCTACACCACCAGGCCAGCTCTACTGTGTTGACTAGGCAAGGTGTAAGGGCCACTCTGCCTAGTGCTGCAGCTGGTGAGAGGCAGGGCCAGCTCTCTCTAGTGCCCTTGGGGATGCTCTCCCACCTACCACAGGCCTCAAGGAACAAGGAGGGCTTCTCTCTCTTGCCCACACCACCATGTGGTAGGTGAGGAGCAGGACTTGGTCTCTCATACTCATTTTCTCGGTGCTAGCTCTCCCACACCTCCATCAAAAGGGTGAGCTCAACTGTGTTACCCAGACAAGGTGCAGGGCCCCCTCTCCCTAGTCCTGTATCTGGTGAGGGGCAGGGTCAGCTCTCTCATCTGCCACAGGTAATAAGGAGCAAAGAGGGAGAACATCTTTCCCTCCTCCTCACCGCCACATGGCAGACAAGGGGTGCAGGGCCAGCTCTCCCACTCTCAGGACCTCAGGGAAAACTCACCTTGCCCTTACCAGCAGAGTCAGCACTACTGTGGTACCCAGGTGAGGTGCAGGGCCTGCTTTCCTGAATGCTGTATGCAGCAAGGGGTGGTGGGTAAGGGGTGGGGGGTGGGGGGACTCTCCCCTGCCCACACTGCATGACAGAGGAGAAGTGGGGCTAGCTCTCCCACACTTATGCCTTTGGGTTCCGCTCACCTGGGTCAGCTCTACTGAGTTGCCCAGGTAAGGTGCAGGGCCTGCTTTCCTGGGTACTGCAACAGGTGAGATGCTGGGCTAGCTCACTGGTTCTCTTGACCTCAGGGCCAGCTCTACCACCAGCCACAGGTAGTGAGGGGTGCAGGAGGGGAGGACATTTCCCCCTCATTCACACCACTATATAGCAGATGAGGGGCAGGACCACATCTCCCATGCTCACAAAAATGTTGAACAATTTTTTTAAAGACAGGGTTTCTCCGTGTAATTGAAAAGATTTTCTCAGCCATATTTGTATTTCATCTTTTGAAAATTCCGTTTAGTTCTATGCCCTATTTTTGATTGGGTTGTTTATTTTCTTGTTGTTTCACTTTTTGAGTTCTAGTCAGTAACCCTCTGTCGGATGAACAACTCAATACTGAATGAAAAAATTAGTCAAGACAGAAATTAAGAAAAGACTTTCTAGAATTGAATGAAAACCACAATGTACCCAAACTTATGAGACATGATGAAGGCAGTTCTAAGAGGCAAGTTCATAGCACTAAGTGCCTATATTTAAAAAAATGGAGACATCTCATTATAGTAACTTAACAGCACACCTGAAAACTCTAGAACAAAAATAAGAAATAACACCCAAAAGGAGTAAACAGCAAGAAATAATCAAACTTAGGGCTAAATCAGTAAAATAGAAACAAACAATACAACACAATACAGAGAATCAAGGAAGCAAAGAGTTGGTTCTTTGAGAAAATCATTAAGATCGACAAAACTTTATCCAAATTAACTAAAAGACAGAGAGAGAAGATCCAAAATTTAACAAAATTAGAAGTGAAAAAAGACAATTTATAAAAGTTAAATCAAGATCAGATAAACAATTTAAACTGATCTACAACTACTAAACTCCTAGTGAAATAGAAGCAGTAATTAAAAGTCTTTCAACAGCAACAACAAC